GCCAGCGCCTCAGCACCCTCACAGGGAAGAGCTTCTGCCTAAGAGCTCAGCTCAGTCTCCCCTCTGGCAGGTTCAAGCCATTCCCCTTGGTCTGTCCCTACAGGCCCTTGTCCCAAGCCCCTCTCCAGGTTTCCTGCAGCCCCTTTAGGCGCTGGAGCTGCTCTAAGGTCTCCCCTTCAGGAGCCTTCTCTTCTCCAGGCTGCCCCAGCCCAGCTCTCTCAGCCTGGCTCCAGAGCAGAGCTGCTCCAGCCCTCGCAGCAGCTCCATGGCCTCCTTTGGACTCTCTCCCAACAACTCCCTGTCCCTCTTGTGCTGCTGCCCCAGAGCTGGATGCAGCACTGCAGGTGGGAGTGGAGCGGAGGGGAAGGCTCTCCTCCCTTGACTTGCTGGCCATGCTCCTTTTGGTGTAGCCGAAGATGCGGCTGGCTTTCTCGGCTGCAAGTGCACATTGCTTGGTCACGTTGAGCTTTGTTCTCCTAAAAAGAGGCTTTGTTCTGACACCTCATAATACAAAGACAGCTTTATTCTCCTCAAAGGCAGGCGTAGGAGCTTGGAAACAAGTTGGTTTTGGCTCAGGGACAAGAGAGGCAAGGCTGTGAAAACGAATGACCAAGGAGATGACCCCAAAGGGAGGTAAACCACCTACATTCAGCCCTGCTGAAGCCTCCAAGCACGAGCAGCTCTAATTCCACTTCAGAGGGTGGAAACTGCAAGTGTTGGCAGGTATGAGAACTGAATCTTTCAATCAAGATTCAGCCACAGGGGGTTTTGTTACACCACAAAGAGGTGATACACAAGTGCTTGGGCAAGAAGAAAAGGGTAAATGAACTGGAACGGGCAGGTAGGTGGAGATGGAACAAAATCTATGGGTCCTGCCTCTACACACCCCCTCTGAAAACCCTGTCCTGAGGATTCCTGGCTTTGCTTTTCAACATAACCCATACAGCTTGTCATAACACAGCTCATTTAACGCCTGCGTCCCACCTTGACTGTCAGAGCTTCCCCTGGTCATGTCAGGACCTTGTGTCAGTGATGTTATGAAGTCTGAACTCCAGCTGGTGAGGAACACATACCAGGTCCCCACCAAAAGACCTTGCCATGCTTCAGACCCTGCTCACAGCATTGTTTTAGGGAAAATAAACCAGGCATGGAGGCAGAGAATGCAGGGCATTCTGCTTCTAGCAAGTGCCTCTGAAAGGTGATTACACAGTGTGGGCAAGCCCTTGGGGACTTGACCTTCTGACACCTGATGAGACATGGGCAAGGCTGATGCTGAACCGCTCAAACCTGTTGTGACCAGGATGTACCTGTGTTTGTCCACAAACAAAGCTTCTCCAGCTTCAAGATCTTCCAGGTCGAGACCTTCACTTACTGCAAGCAGGTAAATGTTTGGACTGAAGTAGCTGCAGAGCAAAGGGGTTGTGTTTCACAGCTGGGCTTGGCTGTCCCTCTTCACACACTTCATCCTGTCAGCCGTGTTTGGAGCTGGTCACAGGTGAGCTCAGGTTATGGTTTCTTCAACAGTGCCTAGGCTTTTCAGTAGCACCGGTTTCAAATATCACAGACTGGTCCGTGTAGGAAGGGAGCTTAAAGCTCATTCAATTCCAAACCCCCTGGATTTACTTAATAGTAACAGAGCTATGTGTAATACCAACATGTATGAAGTTAGGAAAGGCAAGAGCCTTCCCAGGCAACACTAATTCCCAGAGTTAGTGAAATCCATTTGGTATTTCAAAGATCAAACCTTGCTGCTGGCAGGCTGGAGGCAGGAATTCGCAGCATCACATTGGTGCTAGCCTTAAGAGAGATGCAAGAGCTCTTCCTTCATCTGCCCCTGACAGCAGGCACAGAGATCCCACTCCCAGTGCACAGCTGCTTCCTCTGACCCCCTCCCATCTCCTGCCATAGATCCAACTGCAGCACGAGAGCTGAAGCTATCAGCACACATCCATCTGCTGAAGACTCCCAACTGCTTTTGTCAGACAACTCTACGAGCTCAATGTTTAGTTCCAGTGTCAACTGGTCACAGACTGCAGCCACCCTCCTCAGCACCCTCCCATTCTGCCAAGCAGCTCTATATGTCTTCTCATGCAACAAGAAACAAATCATTACCTGAGGCACTCTTCCAAGGAGGCATCAGTTTGGCTCCAGCCGAAGATGAACCAGCTGGGTGCAGGACTCCTAGAAACACTGCAGAAACAGCACCATACAGTCCCACTTGGTAACTCAAAAGTTCCCATTTGTTTGACCAAAATAAATACCCTGTTCATCTCTTCTGCTGTTCCTTATGTGGGTCACACAAACCTGAATACATTGAGAGAAAAAGCTTCGCAAGTTATCTAAATCTTCAAAACAGTTTCAGAATTGTTTAGTCCTAAGAGTTTCTACTTACCCCACCTGAAAGACGAAAGCATAACAGACACTGCAAGTACTTCACCACTCTAAGTCCAAGGGAGGACAAAGTTGAAGCTATGTTCTCTGGCAAGGCTTCAGTATTATAACAGGTCAGACACATATTTAACTATGATAGCTCCTACACAGAGTTACAAAGAGAATTCCTGATGTGGAACACTACTATCACAGCTCCAGATTCTTCGCTGGCTCTTTAAACAAAGACCATTAAAGCCTATCAACAAGGGATGATGCAGATTCTTTGCAAAGCATAAGATCTGGGGCACAGCAACACAGAGACACAAACAGCTTCTGCTCACAGATCACCACCAGCAAGACTGAAGCACAGACGAGATGCTGCTTCCACCACTGGAGGAGACACAGCCTTAAATTTAAGTGCTATAACCCAGTCTCATCCACTTTAACTCACAATCCTGGAAGCCTATGACATGGTCAGTGTTGACATCGACTCTCTCTTCCAGGCATCAAGAGATGTAACTACACTGATAGGTATTAAAAAGTGTCAATAAAGGAGAAAGTTGCCATCAGTCACTAACTCCCCTCTTCGTGAGTGCCTGGGATTGCATAAAGCCTTTCAGTTGGACCAGTAAGACATGCAAAACCCTTAAGGGAGGCAGAACAAATTGCAGACAGACAACTACAGAAGTAGAAAGTGGTTTCATCAGTTTATTGCTTTTTGCAACCTGAACTTTGCTGCTATTTCACATACGCTCAAGCCTGCACAGACATACTCAATGCAGCACACACCACCACAGAGAACAGTGTTTTATCACAAGCCATAAGACTAGTGGGAAAACAATTCTAATCCTACCTCCACATCATTTGAGGGCTTGACAGTAAATAGAGCATCTCCAAAAAGCTATTGACATTTACATTGATTGATCAACTGATTATTTTTAAGTTACTGAATAAAACAAACTGGTGAGGGACCAAGTGCTTCGAACACAATTTAGTGCATTCAGGATGCCCTCTCAATGCACATGTTCTGGAATCCTCCAAAACTTCGTAATACCAAATGAAACTAAGGTACTTTGCTTCCAGTTCAAATACCAGGAGAAAATAAGCACATTTTAATATATTAACTCAAAGACTATCTGTATAAAACTCTTCCCACTTGGAATATTTTTAAATTAAACAATATAATTACTATACTTACAAGAAATAAGACTAGACATTTATTGCTAGTACAAAAGGTCATGGTTTTCATGGAGAAGTTAGATTAATATTATTGCTACAAACAGACAGTGCCAGAGACAAGAATTTGATTTTCATGTTTGTTCACCATCCACAAGTGGCTTTCAAGGACATGCAGTTACTCAGGACTTAGGAAAGACGAGGTCCACAACTCTTCAGAGTTATGATTTATGATCTGATGTCATTTTGCTGCCTTTCAGTATAACAGTGAGACTCAGTTTGCTGCTCCTGTGTTCTAACATTATCATTCATTAGATCTTCTCTCCATGGAAGAAAAACCCAAAAGTAAAAAAAAAAAAATAATCCAACCACCCTCATCTTGCTCTGCCACATTCAGAACTACAACTACATTCATATTTTTTTTTGCTATGGGGTGAAGATAAGTGGGAATGCCCCATGTGGAGAGTCCCTGACAAAGAACAAGGTTTCTAGGGCAAGCTTTGATCAATTTGCTAACAAGCTTTCATTCCCAAAGAAAGCTTTTTACACAGAGATTAACATTACTCAGTGCAAACACAGTCATACTTACTACTCTATTAGTAACAAAAATGAACATCAAAACCTGCTGACAGATCTGCAGAGTCCAGTTTCTTTGCAATGCACTGATCTCCAGTCACAAGAACATGAATCTATAGCTTTGGGGTTAAGGATGCTGTTTCCAGCAGCTATCTAGCTTGCTGCTAGTTCATACTACTTCCCCTCAATGTGTTTTGTTCTTAACTTACACTCACACAATTGCTGACTTAACAGCTGATACAGGAAAGCAAACAACTCTACTTCTCCCTTCAATTAAACAGTCAACACTAAAATCCTTAAGGGTTATCACCATTGTAAACTATTAAGGTTACAGTATCTGTAATGTATTACTTAAGGATCATACAGTAAACCAGTGGAAATTTTAACCTAGTCATAGATCCTGTTGCTGGTAACTGCAAGATTCATAGAAACCAGTGTTCTATAGAACCAGCAATTCGCATGTCACTTAAAGAAAAAGGGTAGATTTTGTATTAATGCCACTTTAACTGGGCCAGCTGAACTCTGCTGCACATCAAGTAGCTAGAAGCATTTACCTGGGTCTTAAGAAATGGAAATGACAAGTGACCTGGTTCAAGCGAAAGCCTCCTACTGGCTAAATCCTCATATAGTGCACCCTGGGCCCAAACATGCCTTATGATGATGTAGGATTCTAACCCAAAACATATCAATGATTTTAGTATCAGTCATGAATGCCAAAGCACCAAAGTACTTACTGTTCAGTTGTTGCCATAACAGTTCCTTTTCCTTCACCTTCAATCCCACATTCCTCCTTCACATCCCTCCCCCAAAGAAATATTAGTAAACCCAAATGAATATAAATACTTCAGGAGGAAACACAATGCTCAACCTGCAAGAACTGAGAGACTTGAGAAGCATTCACCTTTCTTTTCATGGCATGCATGAAAAGGAGTCAGACACCAAGAACTGGATCAACAGAGACAGTAGTTCAGTGGAGAAAACCCTCTTGTATGCTGTTAGACAACTCAGGCTTAGCATTGTGCGTACTATATACAGCTGAAAACAAAAACCTCTGCTTTTCTTCAGACAACTTAAAACATTAAATATTTTAAATGAATCTCTTTGAACTCCAAGTTGTATTTACACGGTTATTCACAAAAAATGTGCAAAGTAAAATCTGACAGAAATTTAAAAGTCCAACAAAATGACATAAAAAAAAAAAGGCAGCAGAGATTCCACATCCAGTTTATACACACTTCAAAGACCTAAAGACAGTGAAAAGGTTGTTCCAGCTGCACCTCGGGAAGTTTAACACATCCAAACCACGCTGCACTTCAATCACTAGCTGTCTGTGCCACAGAACTCACAATGTATGCCACCAGTGAGGTCTTTGACAACCTTTTCTTTGATCAGTTTCTGCAGGAATTGGGTTTCGCTCGTCACATTGTGCATAGTTTGTCCGTTCATGGCAGCCATGCAGAGGTTGTTGTAGTAGTGCAAAGGTGTGCTGGGCTGATCCAGGTCGTAGCCAAATCCTGCTAAGCTCACTTCGTCACATAAATGCGTGGCCAGAACAACTGCTGTGACCCCAATTGTAGGTACATTCTGAAAAGGGGGAAATAAATGAAGCCTGCTGAATTGAAACATTCACCTTTGCTAAGTTTTAGAAACACTTCACAAAGATTAACGGCTTTGTCTACTCTCTCTCCTCACTTAAAACTGAGATCAGTTGAACAATCCAAACTAAAATCACTTACAGCTAAAGAATCAAATAATCAAGTAAAACTAAAGACTTCAGAGTCAAATACTAACACAACTTGAGTATTTGCCTTTAACAAGACTTTTGGCTACAAATACTGACATTATTATGCAGGCAACGTGCCCCATTACTGTGTAGTTAAACCACAAGTGAACCCTCACTCCAAGCACTCAGCTCCTGACATGCAGCTAAACTTGACATTTCCTGATGTACTGCAGGCTTGGGCAACAAGCTCTCTAACAGGATTCTTCAGAGTATCCCACTGAACAGCCTGTGAAGAAGGCAGGTATACTACAATACAACTAAAAGACAGCTTTATGCATTAGGTTATTTTAATAACTAAATGTGAGAAGATGCTTCACACATTTGTGCACTAACAATACCGTTAAATGCTTTCCCATAAGGAGTACAAATATGATGGTTATTTTCTCACAGTTCAAGAGAACTAGTGACATCCAATTTCTCAAACAAATAATGAAAATAAGAAAAATCCAGTGTGTAATTAGACTGGGTGATTCATCACTCCATACCATGGCTAGAGCAAAGGACAGGGAGGCTATACCCACCAGCTGCTCTTGAGCACACTGGCACACATGGCCAGTCCAGCAGTTGGAAGGCTGCTTTCCACTGGCCTGGTTTTCAGACTCTGCAGCTGAAGACACATCTGTCCATAGCTAATTAATGGCTTGATTTAGCAGGGCTGCTCTTAACACATTTAGTGCAGATTAAATGCTTGTTTTGAATATTTAACACCAGCCACAATAACGGGTGCGTGAACAAACAGTGCTGTGATGGATTTACCATAGACTGACAGAATGGTTTGGGTTGGAAAGGACCTTAGAGCTCACCCAGTTCCAACCCTGCCACGGGCAGGGACCCCTTCCACTGGAACAGCTTCCTCCAAGCCCCTGTGTCCAACCTGCCCTTGAACACTGCCAGAGATGGGGCAGCCACAGCTTCTCTGGGCACCCTGTGCCAGCGCCTCAGCACCCTCACAGGGAAGAGCTTCTGCCTAAGAGCTCAGCTCAGTCTCCCCTCGGGCAGGTTCAAGCCATTCCCCTTTTTCTGTCCCTACAGGCCCTTGTCCAAAGCCCCTCTCCAGATTTCTCTTCAGTCCCTTTAGGCACTGGAGCTGCTCTAAGGCCTCCCCTTAAGAAGCCTTCTCTTCTCCAGTCTGAACCAGCCCAGCTCTCTCAGCCTGGCTCCAGAGCAGAGCTGCTCCTGCCCTTACATCTTCACAGCCCTTCTCTGAGCTCACTCCCACAACTCCACATCTTTCTTGTGTTGGGGACCCCAGAGCTGGACACAGTACTCCACGTGGGGACCCCTGAGCACCATGACATTTGATGTCAGCATGCACAGGAACAATGCCTTACCTAAAAAGGTCAGCTGAAATCCTACTTCAATTTCACACAATAAAATACAACAGTCCTTTGAGAGCACATTCATTTCCTGTTACTCGAAATCAGCTCCGAAACTCCCCAGAGAAAACATACTGAAGGAAGAGCCCCAAATGTTTATCAGTTCCTTGTTTTACTTTCTATTTTACAGTCTCCCTCATCTAAAAGGAAGCTTCTTACCTTATCCCAACCCCAGAATTTGGATCGAGGTTCAGGGAACTGTAGAATGTCCAAAGCTGTCTCTTTGATGATGACTGGATTCAGAATCCGAAACTGCTTTGATGCGAAAGGAATTTTCTCTGCAACCTCCTTCCAAAAGAAGAGTCTCACCCACAGAGGCTGAGAGAAAGAAAAGACAGCTCAGCAAAGGGAAACCAAGACTGCAGAGTGTCTGGCAGACACAGCACACAAGTGCTAGAATTCATCAGGGATTCAGTTTCTAGCTGAGGTGGTTCAGAAACACCAGTGTACCTCAACTAGGAGGTGTTACACTTCACAAGCTGGCTTCTCTCTCAATCACAGAGCACTTTTTCAATCTGTAGCCAGAAAAACCTAGCTACTAGTTTTCACCTGGCAGAAATGATCTTCCCACAGACTGAAGGAGGTGGAAACCACTCATTTAAATAGTTTGGAAACACGGAACTTCCCTACCATTCCTTTGGAATCTCTGCACTTCTTCAAATAGACAGTGAGAAATAAACAACCTCTTAATTTTGGAACCACAGAGAAATGTGAACTAAGAACTGCAATGCTTCAATCACACATTAACTGCATGTACGCCTATTGTAGCAGAAGACTTAGATGGACTGGAATCCAAAAACTTCCTTTCTATTTCAGGCTCTGAAGACTTGTTCGAGTCACTTAAACCTGATGTGAAATGAATCCAACTTTAGCAAGCACTAGACAGGCCTTGTAGCTTGGTGCAAACCACCAATAGCTGCACAAAGTGTTACTGCCAGCATGGGGCTTCAACGTGAATGCTGGTACTAACAGTAACTAGGAGACAGAGCTAAAAGCACCACAGTTACACAAAAGATCCTCAGAACACTAAACCAGGAGGTAAGAGATCAGTCAGCTTCTTCACCATTAGAAAACAAACCAAATTCATACAAACATAACAGTGCCAGGTTACATACCAAGGTTTCATTTTTAACCATTGCCTGAAGCCAGTTGAAATCAACACTTTTAAACAGAACAGCCACAAACAAGCTAGCAGGAGGGTACTCGTGTTCAGAGAGAGGGGCTCCTTCTGGGTAAGTCATCCGGAGAGTAGTTTTGTTACCAACGTGATCAGTGTATCCTTGAACTGGTGCGTCATTTAACCTAACAACAAAACCAACAGAACGGAAAGAAACTGTATTTAATAAGCATAGGTTACAATCTCATGAGAACATCAGACACTGAAGCAAAGAACTTTTATCTGGCCCAGATAAGAGTGGAGTAGAGTATTCCCCCAGTATCTCAGTGTTCCTTGTCTCACTCATCCATCCCTGATCTTTGGGAGGATGCCAATCCTATGAATAGATCATCTGGCACAAGTGCAGAACTTCAAGAAGAAAAGCTTGGATAGGAAAGTAAGCAGTGCAAAGCTTAATATTCATTGCCTTGTGCCAATTCAGAGGGGCTTAAAAAGAGGAAGGGAAAGAAAACACACAGGAAGCTGCCTGTGTTATCTTTTCTACATATATGCACACGAGTATTACATAAAGATACTCAAATTACCAATGCAATGTAATACATCTTGTGGGTTTATATCATTCCAGCTAACCAAAAATGTCACACGTAGCACACTGCTGGCAAGAACAGCATCATCCAGCTCCACATGCAGTTCTACAGAACAGCAGAAGTCCCACAAACTTCTCTGTATCAGCAGAAAAGTCACCTTTCTAACTTCAGAAAGCAGCTAATGCAAGATCCCTGCCCCTCCATATGCTGACAGGTTTGTCTGCCTTTGTGTCAGTGCTATTGACTCCCTGTATAGAGCACTCCCCTAAACATGGCAATTAATAGAATCATAGAACAGGTTGGGTTGGAAAGGACCTTAAGATTACCTGGTTCGAACCTCCCTGCCATGGGCAGGGACACCTCACACTAAACCATGTCACCCAAGGCTCTGTCCAACCTGGCCCTGAACACCGCCAGGGATGGAGCATTCACAACCTCCCTGGGCAACCCATTCCACTGCCTCACCACCCTTACAGTAAAGAACTTCCTTATATCTAACCTGAACTTCCCCTGTTTCAGTTTTAACTCGTTACCCCTTGTCCTATCACTACAGTCCCTAATGAAGAAGCCCTCCACAGCATCCTTGCAGGCTCCGTTCAGCTACTGGGAGCTGCTCCAAGGTCTCCACGCAGCTTCTCTTCTCCAGGCTGAACAGCCCCAACTTTCTCAGCCTGTCTTCATACAAGAGGTGCTGCAGCCCCCAGTCATGCTCGTGGCCTCCTTAGTTTACAAAGCAACCTGGGGAAATGCTGGTGTTAAGTTTATTTGTGACTTCACATGATTCAAAATAAGAGAGAAGGAGAGTTCAAAGAGCAGCATTCAGAAGGCACAAATACAGAGCATGTGTTCATTTCATTCAGATGTTAGAGAACATGGGTAATCATAGCACACACTGATGTTACAGAGATAAGGAAAGATAAGCATGCTGTACAGTGTGTAAGCAAACTGGATGCTGAAGCACCTGAAGCACCAATTATTTTTTTACTGTGCTTGAAAGAGCCGTTATAAAACCCTTCAAATAAGCATTCCAACTAACCAAAGAGAAAAAGACAGAGGTGATTCCTAAAGCCTGCCTCTGAAAGCTTGAACATATGAATGGATAATGCCAGGTTTGTCTACCTTTCTATTATTTCACTGGTTCCCATCTCATTTCTGCCCATGGATGTTTTGCATCTGAAGTCTACAGGCTGAGAAAGTTGGGGCTGTTCAGCCTGAAGAAGAAAAGGCTGCATGGAGACCTCATAGCAGCTTCCAGTATCTGAAGGGGGCTACAAGGATGCTGGAGAGGATTCTTCATCAGGGACTGTAGTGATAAGACAAGGGGTGATGGGTTCAAACTGAAACAGAGGAAGTTCAGGTTAGATAAAAGGAAGTAGTTCTTTACTGTGAGGGTGGTGACACACTGGCACAAGTTGCCCAAAGAAGTTGTGAATGCTCCATCCTGGGCAGTGCTCAAGGCCAGGTTGAACAGGGCTTTGGGTGACATAGTCTGGTGTGAGGCATCCATGCCCATGTCAAGGGGTTGGAACTGGATGATCTTAAGGTCTTTTCCAAAACAAACTGTTCTACGATTCTGTAATTACACTGAATTCCTGTCTTGTGAACAGGACAATTTATTTTGCTCCTAAAATTCCAACTTCCATCAAATCACAAGTAAATTTCTCAACAGCACTTTCAGAAACAGACTTATAAGCTGCATAAATGTTGATAATACTTCCCTCTTAAAACCCAAAGTCTGCTCATAAAATGAAGTTGAAGTAGTTGGAATCTTTAAATGGAAAATACATACCTTATAACAATATCAAACTGATTCAGTAAGTGACCCAGTTCTGATCCACGAAGAATTCCACCACTGCCAACAACCACACAACGCTTACAGTGCTTTGACTTCAAATCTTCTGGTAAATCATGCTCAGGTAAGAGTTCAAGGAGATTTTTAAGCTTATCAAAGAACTTGTGGAATCCAAAAGGGGGTTCATATTTAAATAAAGCTTCATCTTCGTTTATGTTTTTCTTTACAAAGGGAGATATGTCCATGCTGTATTTCTCTGCAAACAACTTCCCCATTTCTTTCTTTACATAAGAAGGTCGGCACTGCTCCTGCAACACAGCTCTGGCATATTGTTGTGCTCTCTAGAACAAAGCATACATGGTTTCAGGAACATACAAAGTCCTCTTAATGCAGTCTACCAGCAGTTTAGCAGAGGGGTTTCTAAAGAAAGCTTAAAGGAGGAGATAAAAGACATTTTAAAGCATTCACTCAAATGTAGATACTAACCAGTGCAGGGTGAAAACCTGCAAAGAGAGGTCCCTCCATCCAATCCCTTAAATCTGGAAAGGAGGTTAGGTTAGTAAGAGTGATAGGTGGAAAGAAGCCATTTGAGAACATCTGTACTGTTACTCACAAAATCAGATTACCCCTCCCATCTAACTCAGCAAGGCAACAAGCAGAATTCCACTCCATTGGTTGACTGCATGACCTGACTTCTGCCTCTGGTAAGGATTTTGCCAGAGACACATCCACTGGGGAGAAGCTCTGCAGCGCCAGGCTGGACTTGCTTACTAACCAAAATGAAGCAACACTGCTTCCATAAATACTGCTAAAGTAGTATTGCTATAAGAACTCAAACCCAACTTTGAAAGGAATGCAAGGTGGGGGGTGTTTCAAGCCTTCACTATGACAATAGCAAGGCACTTGCACCAGGTGCCCAGGGAAGCTGTGGCTGTCCCATCTCTGGCAGTGTTCGAGGCCAGGTTGGACACAGGGGCTTGGAGCAAGCTGCTCTAGCAGAAGGTGACTCTGCCTGCAGCAGGGGGCTGGAACTGGATGAGCTTTAAGCTCCCTTCCTACCCAAACCATCCTGTGATTCTATGGTTCTTCCAAGGACTAGCCACCAAAACAAGACTACAGTTCCACACTGCATAAAAAGATTAAGCTGTCAAATGAAACTACACATTTTACCACACCAACTTAACTACTCATGTACGGTTTTTAGACATCTGTAGTGGCAAGCCAGTACCTGCTGTAAGAAAGAAGGTAAACACCAAAGTTATTATTTTTATCAGTTAAAATATTTTTGTATGCTCCCTTCCCCCAATCAACTCTGATCTTTACTCCCCTAAAATTAAAAGAAAACATGAGCAAACACAGGACTCAGACTCAAGATTCAAATCTAGTACTAACTCAGCTGTCCATCTGTGCTGTTAAGGAAAGGGAAGTGTATATGTAGGTGTACCAGAAGGGAAGCTGTGCTTCTTTCTTTTTTAACGAAGATTCTTCTACAGAACTGCCTCTGCCACCCTTATAAAGGTCTCTGCAAGTCTGGCCATGAACACCACACTTCTTCCTGGGCAAAGCATAACTGAGAAATTTCATACTGTAAACTTAGCAGGTAACATTCAGTGCATCTTTGGAAGAGCCTCATTTTTAAGGCTAACAGTTGTGTGTCCAACCAGCAAAAAGTAATGCCAGTCACTTGACAACTGCCAAGTTGTAAGCGGCTTCGTAATCAGCTACTACCTAACTAGACAAAGAGTAATGCCATTTCCTCCTCCTGCACGCAACACAAACAAAATGAATCATGAGACAGCAATAAACACAGTCCATGCAGTCTTTAGGTTTGCTTGGCTTAAGGTGTTTGATGTTTGGAAGCAAGAATATGTTATTGTGAAATCTGTCAAGTGAGGAAAAAAAGGGGAGCCTAAGATGCTCAGAAGGAGAAAAAAATGCAATGAAGAAGGGGATGAGTCCATCTTAAATCAGGGCTTTTGCTCTAAGTTGTGTCTTGGCACTGAGACATCCAATGACAGAACTGTAACAACTCTAAGCCAAGGTAAGCGCTGTCATAAAGAGCAAACAGGCTAAGCAGTAAAGGCAAGGAACTGTCATCAACAAATAAGGGAAAGTTTTATTGGTGTCTGTTACACCAGCTTAAAAGCCATATGCAGAACTGTAGCTGAAGTAGCTGCTACCTTAAATATGTCAATGAACTTAGAGCCAAACCCTCCGGCACATTTGCCCCACATTCCAAAGACACCTTAGCAACTACAAGGCAAAGCAGGTTGGGGAACTGGCTGAAGTAAAATATACCTTTGGTTTCATGTGTTGGCTTTGGGACCTGACCTTTTCATCTGCATTCATTTTCTAACCTGCACTGGCACAATAGTATGGTGACATGTTTCATTTCAAATTCTTAACAGTCACAGTTATCTCCTTTTACCCCTAAAAATCCAGTTTCTCAATGCACTTCTGCTATCACTCCACAAGAATAAAACCCAGAAGTTCTATGGCATGAAATGAAGCAGAACCTATTTTCAAGGCCAGGCTGGACAGAGTCTTGGGCAACATGGCCTACTCTGAGGCATCCCTGTTCATGGCACAGGGTTGGAACTGGATGATCCTGACATCCTTTCCAACCTAAACCATTCTATGATTCTGTTTTCCCCTCACAGGATGACTTCAGCATTCTAATTCTCTCTTACAGAGCTTGGTAACTCCTTTATTGTCAATTTTTAAGTAAAAATAAAAGCAAAAAAAAATACCAACCCTTACACGCTCGAGGTCCACATATGGCATTTTTGTTCTGTCACATTCTTCAGGGCCAAAATGTAACTTGAGGATATAAAGGAAACACCCTCCAACCACAAACAGTGCAAGAAGTCTAAAAACAAACAGGAAGGGGCAGGGGTAGGAGAGAAAAGAAACATATAATCTTGTTTTCCAGCAATCCATCAAGTGTTAAACCATTATTTCTACATAAATTTAAGACAGTTGAACTTGCATTTTGATTCAAGCCAAGACAAACTATTGCTCTGTTCACTGCAAGTCTTTACCAACTCTTCAGAGCTATCTGCAGGAAAGTATAAAGAAACAGAGATGCTTCGATAAGGAAAACATTGCATATTGCCACTCTGAATTATGCAGTTCTATGCCTGCATCATACACACTAAATGCATCTCTGATGGGTCAAACAGCTCCTAAAAAGCAACCAAAAGTACCTTCTGGGTACCTTCTTTAAAGGGGAACTCTATTTTGAAGTACATACTTTCATATAAGTCAAAAAAAGGATAAGACTTCCAAATTCTTCAAGATTTAAGGTAAATGGGCACCACTCACAAATAAAATGGCCAAAACACAGAATTTACATACTCAGGTTTAAACTGAGAAGGCCAATTTTATTATTTACACCCCAAAAAAACATGCAGAAGGAAGAAAAAACCAAGCACAACCAACTGGAAAATTGAGTAATATGGACCACATTTTTGATCTACTCATTCCTCATTCCTAAAGAATCTCACCGTTGATCTCCAAATATTCACCTGGCTCATTTCACATCTAAATCGAGCTGCAAGAATTGCATCATTATTTGCTTAGAGTCGTGGTTGTTACTCAAATATGAAGTTTGAGCTTTATTATTGATTTCCTTTTCCTATGGATTCCTAAGGACTGGACGTTGGTTGAATATACAACCTACTGAGCACCCAGTGCTTCGTGAATACGGGCTTCCAAGATTGTGTTTATAAAAGCTTGTAGCAGATGGACTAACAGATGCAATCCTGGGACTCAGCTTGTCTGTGATGCAAACAAGGTGACCAACAAAGCAGCACTGTTCTCACATCTGATTTAACCAGGTCGTATTTAGCACTGACAGGGGGGCTAAACCTTCATTACATGTTGGACTGCAAAGATCAGCTGACTGGCAGAAAGGAGGGGGTCACAGCAGATGAATGAGGCTGGGTTGCATCCACACTAGTCTATCAAGTATCTCTAAATTCAGCTGGCGCTGCACCATTCAGGTGCTCAAAACACCAGTGGATGTGACAGTTTGGCTTTGAGAGGTTTTTCAGCTCTAAGACCTAAAAATTCACGTGGCACAGAGGCATTACAGTAGTGAACTTCTCTGGTTTGAAACATGGTTCTGGATGTGTATTAGCACACACTCAATTCTAATTTGATGTCAAACTATAAACAATGGAGTAAGATTATACTGATAGGTCAAGGGGGAATGGCTTTAAACTGCCAGAGGGGAGACTAAGATCTCAAGAAGAAGTTCTTCCCTGTGAGGGTGCTGAGGCACTGGCACAGGATGCCCAGAAAAGCTGTGGCTGCCCCATCCCTGGTAGTGTTCAAGGCCTGATTGGACAGGGCCCCAGGGGAGGCTGTGTACCTAACTCTCCCCTCAGTTCATGTGGCAATCTCATCCCTTGATTTTTACATCCTTTTTCTAACTTCCCAGACAAAGAGGGGAGCAACTGACCTCCATGTTCCTGCCACAATGACACTTACTTGCGAGTACCTTTTAAAAACCAGCTTGGTCTTCTCATCTTCATGTGCAGCCACCTTACACCATTGCACAGGAGGCGAGCAATCACTTTTCAGCTTCACAGAGTTATTGTCACTCAGCATTGCTGTGAAAAGAAATCACTTTTGATGAACTGGAAAAGAAAGTTGATAGGACATCCAATGACTGTTAACTTCCTGCTTCCCAGAGAAGATTCTTAGTTATGGTGTCAGGAATACTGAACTGCTCCTGACCTCCCCGTGATCAAGAACATACTCATTTCACATGCACTACCAGGATGCGACTCTAAAAAGAAATACATATTGCCATGTATAGGTCTTTGCATTCTTCATAAGCCTTAAGTCTAATAGTTGCAATTCCATCAGTTACTGTCAAACACTTGGATCTTGGTCAAGCACCACTTAGTTCCAGCACTTACTAGACTCCAGACAAGGGATCTACACAGTATGCTCAAAGTATTTAGGATCTCTGAGTCAAAGTATCCAAGCACTATGGTTCCCTGCAGGCCTCAAGCATGCTCCCAGCATGCAGAACCTGCACAAACCATCCCATCCTCAAAAGCAGAGCCCGTATTTCAAATTAACTCCCCAATTTCATCAAATCATAGAACCATAGAATAGTTTGGATTGGAAAGGACCTTAAGATCATCCAGTTCCAACCCCCTGCCATGGGCAGAGATGCCTCACACTAGACCATGTCACCCAAGGCTCTGTTCAACCTGGCCTTGAACACAGCTCCCCTCCCACAGACACTGTGAATGTGAGAGTGCACAGTGCTCCCTCCCAGATGGTCTGCTTAACTGTTTGTAAGCTCCAATGAGTCTTTATCAGCATGCTTCAGTGCTGATTTGGGAAAGGAAAACACAGGCTGGCATATCAACTTCTCACAGGCTGCTGCCATTAACTAAAGATGTGGGCAAAGAAGGAAACGCCATGCAAAGGCTACCCACGAGCTGCTCATTTTGCTTAGGAGAAGGGATCCAGGCAAGGGTTTTTCCCTGCCTTACCGACCCCCTGAAGCAACACCCCCTTTGATAAGCAAGCCAGGAAGGGTGAAGCCTGATCCTCTGCAGTGGAGGATTTCAGCCCTACTCCTTCCCTTTGATCTCAGTGTTCAACCTTCTCCACTTTCCACTGCAAGTATGTTCACACTTTTCTGTTCTCCTGCCAAGAGCTCTGCCACAAGAACTCTTAAAAGAAGTAGGGCTAAGGGGAGGCTTTTATCTAGCGACGATCTTCCACATTCTCTTTGCTGCTCCACCTCCCTTTTATTTTATATGGCAACATGACCCATTTGAACTAGCCTGTATTAAACACCAGCATGAAGGAGACAATGAGACAGAAGTATGCCTTCCAAATCATATCCAACCCACTGAAATTCCAGGGGTATCCAATTCAAGCAACACCTCAAAGTCAGTCTCTCTTTGCAGTCACACATCATTTCTCAGTAACAAATTTAATAGTAAAAGGTGAAAAGCCACAAACCATTATGAGACAGCATGGGACAAGGAGAGATAAAGATCAACACCATCTTAAATCCTCTGAAGAGCAGAAAACGGGTACATGATGCTTTGTAAAGTCACCTACAAGTGATCATAACCCACAAAACAGAGCAGAGCAAAAGATAAAAGCCTAGTGGGTTTTGCCAGCAGAAAACTTTACCACTTCACTCAAACACAGGTTACTTGGTTATTATGATACTACTAAGAACTTCAAATTACCCAGCTACCTGTATTTATTACATAGACAGGCTCTTCGAGCTGTCACACCTATTTGTAGGCCTTTGTCACAAAACAGCAAGCCCTTAAACAACATCTTTCAGCAGATCTGAAAGCACTGTACAACCAAGGTCAGTACCATTCCACTGGTCTTGGAACAGGGTATACTGAAACCCAAGATCCCCCAGAATGCTAGCAGTTAAGCTGGATACCAGCTGGATACCAGTTTAACTGGAGCACATCCAGCCCCAGTTTTCCCCACAACCTGTCAGGACCCAAGCATCAGCTCACAGGGAACCTATCAAGCTTTACAAACTCATAATTTTCCTCAGAGCAATGCCTCGTATTTACTGGCTGTATCTATACCATCAAATCAGAACAGCATTGAGGAGCAAAACTGCGTGTTGACAACATCACAACCCCAATCATCATATTACAAGTTCGTTCTGCTCTCAGTGAAGATCTATAGTAAATCACAGAACTGTTAGGGATGGAAGGGATCATCTAGTTCCAGCCCCCCTGCAATATGGGCAGGGGCACCTTCCACCAGATCAGGTTCCTCCAAGCAAGTCCACACAGGTAAAGGCCTAGTGCTCATCAACAATATTTGTTGCAAGGAGCATGCCTTAGTGTTAGTTATGGGTCACAAATTGAACTGCTCTGCCTTGAGATGTCCAGTGTCAATCCTGCAGGACTTGCACAATCACCTTATATTCCACAAAGGATATACATCCTTCCTGACACACTAAGCAGACAAAACAACCGAGCACCCCTCATTACCTGGGACCCAGTATCTTCATACCAACACATCTTGGAGGGGACAGGTACCCACAGAGATTAAGTTGGCGGCAGGCAAAGGGAGCAGCCCTGGTTCATGGAGCCTGTCAACACAGTCATACGTGGCACACAAAAGCGGTGATTAGAGGATGGTGCTGAGCTCTGGAGCAGTGTGAAGGTGGCCTGCAGACTACTGGGCAACTCCAAGATTGCTCCACATACTACACAGAGTACACACAGCCCAATAACTGGTTCAGACCAGCACAAACAAGGGGCACTAGGCACTGTCTGGCAGAAGGGAAGGTGAGGGATTAGTAATCCACTGCTGAACACCAGAAATGCCTAAACTACAACATACAACAAAACAATTCTATGTAGAGTTCTACAGATCTCTACATACACAGCTGTGGAGAAGTGTAAAATGGAACTTTTTTAAGAAAAAATACTGAGTAAAAAGCAGGAAACAAGCTTCAACCATTTGCACTGGGGAACAATTGCAGGCAATAATTCTCTGGTGAACAACAACGAGGTAACTTGAGCAGAGACTGTAGAACCTAAATCAGAACAGATTCAGCACAATAGAGTGGGTCAGCGTCGGTACCAGAGGATCCTGTTACCAGGAAATCATTACAGCAACATACAAAGGGTCAGGGTTACGTAGGGCCGTGCTACTGGTGACATCTATGAGGGAACACACACCAGTTTAAGCACGTCTTTTCCACAAGTTTTACATCCATAAAGTTTTACAGTTTGAATTACAGAGGTCAGGTTAAAGCGTCACTGCCTTTGCTTTGTTTAAAGCAGGTTTTTCTTCCTTTGCACTCACCTACTCCTGGCATCATCCTGCAGCACAAAATGATACAGCCAGTCTCCTCTGGTACATAAACTGTCAAAGAGTGCTCCGCAAACAGCACACTTGGTTCATTTCTCAGGGTGAGAATGTCCTATTACAGAATTATATGCAGAGAACCTACAAGAGATGAACTTCTCATGAAGCTTTTGAAACAAAGGGAAGGCTGCAAGAAGTCTGAAAGATGGAGAAGGAACTGAAGAGGTGGAGAGTGGTGAAGACAGAAGGGAATTAACAAGGAATGCGAGATGCAATAAACAAGTGCTATCACAGAGTTTTCCCTGTCTCTGAACCAAATAAATTCCAGTCGCCCCCAAACAGTTGATTCACCCATCTCGGATATGCAAGAAGAAACAAGCAAACGCAGAGAGCTTGATTCATCACCTCAGCACATCCTTCCTGCGTCTAACCATTGGTACTTGGTGTGCTCAGTGGTTTTAATTGTTCACATAACTGAAATAAGGTCAGTTGCATTTCATTTGCAACAGTTTACTTCTGTTCACTATACAGATGGTTCCTTTCTTGATCAAGTCAATAGATACATCAAGTCAAAATACACCTGTCCAGCACAGCATTCTACTAAAGTTACTCAGTATTTAATCCCACACTCTTTCCTAAATCGATAAACACCTTTCACTGGCTGGAATGGTGTTAAAGAGTGCTCAAAAGAGCAAGGTGAGCAGCTATCCAGCACCTGAACACCTTGAGCTTCAAACATAACTCTATGAGTTTATAGAGTGTGAAATACAAACTCACTCCTCTAAATGAGATAACAAGGTTTTATTGAGGGACAAAGTCAATAAAGCAAAAGCAACAGTGCTGGGTGCATGACCGTAGCCAGAGGCGCAAGTGATTACTATTTGTTACACCAAATGCATATTTCAAGTCAGTATAAACAGTTCCCTTCCCATGTGCTAGGTATTCTAAAGCTCTTTTCAGAGCATATAGCTCGCACATTTGAGCAGACCAATCTGAGGGTAATTTCCCTTTTTCAATTATTTCCATCTTTTCTCTGTTAACTAGCATGTACCCTGACATCCTTTTTCCCTGTAGACATCTAGACGGTCTGTCCACCTATATTCTTTCACCCTCTGGGAGAGCCTATTCCATTGAATCCTCCCGAATCTTGGTCTGGTATTGTATAACTTCTAAACAGTTACAGGTTAAACCTTCTTTTTGCTCCCCATATAGGAAATGAGCAGGGTTTAGGCTTCGGTCCACCATTAATGCTAAATCCTCATTATTAATTAGTATCACTCATACAAATAAAAGGGTTTGTCCAGTGAGGGTCCAGCAAGCCCTCAGTCCCGTCTGTCAGCATGTATGTTCCCACTTGTCTGCCTGCCCCAGCACTCATCCCACACTCAAACACAGGAGCTGTGCCAGCTCCCGTCCTTTCCCCCTTGGTTTTCCTCTTTTTTCTTTTCCTCACAGTTGCTCACCCTGCTCTGCAGGGGCTGTGGATGCCTGCCTCTGCAACAGCACTTCTGGTTTAACCCCTTCTTAACTCTCAATGCAAATCTGCTGCTTGTTGCCAGTGACAGCTATCTCCTCCTCATCATCAATATCAGATAGGACAGATACAGAGGGTGCACCTCTCGGAGGTTCCTGTGATACCTGATTGTTCAACCTATCTTCCTGATTACTTTGGGTTTGTTTTGTTTGTTTGATTTTAACTTTAAACATCTTTCCCCAGTATCACAGGCTGAGCAACATCTCTCCAGCTTAGCTTTCTGTTTTTCCCTGTCCTTTTCCAAAGCCA